CTTAAACTTATTTGATTGTATCGTCCTGTAGATGAATCATTGAAATCAATTGTTTTCCTCTGACTGATGTTCTTTATGAATCGCTGAAAATGTGTCATTATTTAAAATCCTAGATTTTGCCTTCCGTATTATTTCGGTCGTGTTTTATAAGAATCCCATTAAATATCTTAATATAACATTCTACCAGTTTGATTGAGGGTGTTATGATGAATTTGTTTTTGGTTAACGTTACTCCAACTTTAAAGGTCCAGAAAAAGTGGAGTTTTAAAACGGGTTCCTTTATCTCATCCAGTGAATCTAAAAATCCCTACTGGCTGAAAATACTGCATATGGGTGAGACGGTGGACGATGTCGTCATCTGTGCCTGTGAGGTTAGCTTTAACAAATTAAACATTGTGCCAAACACCGTTAGATAAAACGCTATTGATAGGCCAACCGAATCGGCATGTAGGCGCGAGCAATTCTTCTCGATTGGAGTCCCGTAGTGTGGGGCTAAACGGGAAAGATTTTGTCGAACTGTCGGCAAAGAAAATACTGCTGGAGCTAAGTCACTGTTTGCATGGACTTATCTGAACACTAGACCAAGGTTCCGACGATGACACGTTTGAATTTTGATCAAGACAATCGGTCGAAGCGGCAAATTGTTACGGCTTCCAAAGGCAAATGCAGATATCAATCGATTAAGGACAAACTGTGTCAACGGAGGTGAATTTGCAGCAGTTCTGCAGTGGTAGTGTAAGCATTTATTTGCTTACTGAGGGATTGGATCGTTGTTCGTTTGCATTTTTAATTTGAGGAGGGTAAACGCAGGTGCATGAGCAGCCGTCGCCAAGTGTGCATGATAAACTGATTTCAGGAAGATTGCCCTGAGGATAAAATCATACTGCTGCTATCGATTTGCACTGAGCAACTGGGAAAGAGCGTCTATCTCCCCGAAATCATGCTTACTCCATTTGCAGATTTCCAGGTCATAGTTCAATATAGAGGTTGCTCTACGCAGAAATGAGCTGGCAGAATACCTCTTGATGCTTCAGTTCGAGACGCAAAATGGCAGGAAACGGATTATGGTCGGTTAGCAAAGGGACTTGGCTATTTTAGACCAATTTATGCAACCTCACTCTGAAAACTGTTATCAAGGCTCCCTTTTCGATTTGTGCATACTACCTTTCGTCTAACGTAAGTTTTAGAACAATATGAATAGTTATATTTGCGATCTGTCTGTAAACACATGGATGACTGCACAGAGGCCGTGGTATGAAGCGACTGCAACGATTAAGATTGGCAGCTTGCGATGCCAAATATGTCGACAGGAGGTGGGAACGAAGCATTTTTCAGGTGGTGTGCACTACTAACACGGGATATTTTGCTCCATGTATTTAATAATGCTTTGACATTGTGAAAACCCGGCAAACTTGCGCGGTAGTGTGACGCTGGTCCTAGGAACGATCATTGATAGGACTCATCCAACTTATCCGGGTCATCTGAATTGCAGGCGTAGGTTCAGATTCGAGATGGCCACAAATGTTAGCATTAATGAAACACAGCTACTTGAATTCTAGGAGGAAATACTGGAACTGTGCAGGTTGCATCCGGAATCCTTTTTCTCAACAAGCCGTAGTATATTATAAATTTTTCTGTATTGTTCTTCGCTGGTACGATCTATCATAAGGATATCGCCTATATATGCCGCTGCACCGGTTTAGTCAGTAATCATATAATACCTTATATATGGACGCCGAAAGGTAGGCGCTTATACGGAAATAATGTGAGGGAGGCATTGATCGTTAGCAAATCACCGGACTGCTTGAATACTACGAATAGCAATTAGGCGCCCGCTAGATTTAGCTTGGCATAACTAGGTTCACTATTAGGCATGGTAAGATGTCTTCCGGAAACGACAGCGGGCGGCAATAATGTTCCTGAGAACATTTGAGGAAGTAAAATTTTGGCAAATATAAAGGATAAATTAGCTGCATATCTGACGTCAGTTATCGAAGCTGCTCTTGGTAATAATCCATCTGTGAGATTATGTATAATTCTGCAAACCGTCCTAGCTCCTTATCTACTAATATAGCTAGTATAAGGCACTGGTTGCTTTGGCCAAAAAATTGGAACACAGCCAGGCCTCAACAAAAGATTTACTTGACCTCGTGCATAACTATATAGAGCATCCAGAAAATCGTTAGTAAAATTATGGACAATAGATTCTACCGTAGGAAAATAAAATCCGTGATAGATGACATTTAGTGGGTTAGCGACAAGACCCAGTTTCTCTAACTAATCCTACAAAAAAAGATAAAGTGCAGACTTTGAACCATGGCAAACATAACTGTTGGTGCTATCCCTGAAAATGACAGAATAGTAAAGCTGAGCAGTAAGCGAACACAATCTCCACTAAACTTTGGTCACTGGGAGGTAAGTTGAATTGGTGGGATACACACGGAAGCTCATTTTCCTCAGAGGAGGATGCAGGATGCGGTTTCATTCGGATTTTGGCGGTATGCCCTATGTGTGTTATGGATAGAAACTTTTACTGTGTAGTGACATCCAGTTCGAAGCTAGAATGCTATGGGTGTGAAAGGTCTTGGTAAGAATCGTCGAGCGCTATTAAGGTCGATTTCACTTTCCAAATCTAGACCGGGTCATATAAAATTGGTCTTCAAGATCAACCATTTTATTCCTACAATGTGCTAAGCATCAATCTAATAACGGGGTGTGGTAGGTGATTGATACTTTTAAACATTTGGAGGCTGCCAAGGAGAGAGAGGAACCGGAAGGATAGTCTGTATTTTGGACCACTGATTAATCGCGCTTTAGTTTAAATAGTCACTGGCATTCAGTAGATAGTGTCTGCAGCGTCATTTGTAGGTTCTTCTTAACTGTGTTTAAGAGCCGCTTGTGTACTTTGGCATCCTTTGGTGACTGAAGACAGCAAATGAAGACCAGACATATAAACTGATTGTCTTGAGTGGACATAGTTTGAATCCTTAAATGCAAGCCCAATCACACCAGCATATGTGACAAAATCTTCCACGCCACTTTTCACAAATTTGTAACAGTGGTTACTCATAATTAAACTAGGAGACTGCTAACCGAACATTTGTGTAAGTGTCCGATGTGTCTTGCTAAACGGCCGAAAGCATGGGCTATGTACTACGATGAAATAGGGCAACCTTTGTCGTCAGCCGGAATTCTGGTAGCGAAGCAGAATTGGAATATCCATGCGCCGTCATTTTAGCAAACTTAATGCAAAATACGTCCTTGTATTCTATGAAATGGATTCAAATGTTAGGTCAGCCGCACCACTGAATAAACATTCGGTGATGTTTTTGACAGCTTTTCACTTGACTAAACGACTGAAGAGGTTATAGGCTGTCCTAACGATGAACTACCGTACAATATCAGATAAAAGCCGATGGTTTTTGGACATTTTTGCATTTCTGTAGAAGAGAGGATGGCTTAAGAAGAATTTATGCACCTTGGGAAAATGACAACTAGCGAAAGCCACTTATCAAAACACTGCACACTTCCGCCCTTATCTCCCCTTAGCGCCACCGGTTAGTGAATGACGGTATTCCAGACAAAAATTAAAAGTGCCTTATGTTTTTGAACGGTTTCCATCTAGCACTGGAAAGCTTCCTAAATTTATACAAATACTTTATTGGAACAAATCAGTATAATGCAGTTTTACTTACTCGGTGGATGATAGCATGAAAATTTATTGTATACTACTGAGAATCACAATCAATAACATGAACATATATAACAGAATGGCACTTACCTTTTGGTCTTTGGGATTTCTGCTCACACATGGATGTGGGACTTTGTAGATACTTGAAGTTGCATTGTCGTAACTTCTACCCATCCGTGGAAAAGTTTATATTCGATAAAACACGGTTTATAATTGGTCTGTAATCAACTCCGTCAAACACTTCTGATGCTGATTTCGGCACTGTCGACACACACCGTTTAAGAGACAGTCATCATCAAGTTACTATGATCCAATGGCTAATTGCAGTTCATTAACATACAGATACAGACAAAACTACTAAAGGCACACAACTCAGCATCCGACGGACAAATATTGTGTTTCTAATCGATAGCTCCAACCCAAAAATGAAAAAGGCAAAATCCCAACAGGTATATATTATGCTGCTAAAACGGGCATTGGACTATGGAATAATTGGTTATTAATATGCAGTGCTAATCACGGACTAAGGGTAAATATCGAACTGATGTGCACGGGCCGCTTAAAATTCAAAATTACGTCTAATAATGTAGAGACATTATTGTTGATCCAAAAGTAATTCTTATGAAAACTGTGATTGTCCGAACAATTATTTTCACGTAAACTACGAGTCGTCCTAGTGCAAATTTTACAGCTGTCGGCAGGCGGTTTTCATAGGTTAGCGTTGGTTAATCTGAATAACAATCAGTGCAAACTGAAGTGCATTCCATCAACAAGAAATCAAAAAATAAACGAATACACTACTGAATTAGTTTGCATTTGTATCATCTCCTACATCAACAGCTGCGCTTTTTCGGAAAATATATGACACTACGCTGCTTAATATTTTATTTGCCACACCGCAAAAAATATTTTTGCATGCACAGTCAAATAAACCATTTAATGCTGCATTACCCGTTGCTGTTGCCATTAAAGTTTTTTGAACGCGGCCTCAGGGTATTGTATCTTTGTCAACTGATTCATTGTTTAAGCGTCACTTCAGTTTAAGCTTGCAGCGTTCATATACATGTTATGTATCATGTAATAGATGGGGTTCCATAGCACTTAAATATTCGTAGCTATCTGAAAGCTTGTAGCTTGGTCTTCGATTTCTTCCAAGTTAATTTGGAGATGCGTAAAATATGCATCTCACTTAACTGTTTTCTAATTTATTTATAACAAATAATGTAGTTGCTTTTTCCCCGTGAGTGTGTGAAATCTTAGCAAAACCACTGCAAATTTTCACTACAAATATTTATTAAACAATAAAGGGCGAACAATGTCTGCTGTTTACAGGTTTGTTATGAAAATACTCCAATTTCAAAGTGTTCACATCATTTTTGTGAAAATAATCTGGAACTTCTGAGTACATGCAGCGCCGTAATAATCCACAGCGAAAATTGCCGGAGAAATATCGTGTTTAAAATAATCAAGTTTTTGTGTACAGAACGTCTGTGGCAACGGTCCCAAATACAAAAATTTTACATCATGCAGTCTGATAAAAATTGATAAAAAACTTTACTGTTCGCAGCTTTCGTAAGTTCCCACTTTTTTATTCCTCATATATTGCAAACGTTTGCCGATGGTTCACCATTGAAATTGCGACTGATAAAAATGCCAATCTTAAGTTATTATTAACGGAACTCCACTTAAATTCTGGGAGTCCGTGCTAACCCGTAGCTCATAGCGCTTGTTAAAAAATTCATGAGTGTATTCCACCCTGATATTGTCTCTGGAGTCCACATACCCTTTTCTTTTAGAATCGGTTCGATAGATTCAACCAGCTGTTCGCCGACGTTCTGAAAGGAAATGAATTACCTTGCATTATCACATCACGTTAACCACAAAATATTGAAACGATTGTAAATTATAAATACACAAAATCGTGTCTGTTACTTCACTACACCATGATACATTATATTACACAATCAATTTAGTTGATTCTTGATGAAAACCCAAACTGATAAAAGTCTACACTGCTGATTCTCTGAGTGCTTACAATGGTTACTAGTCGCTGTTATATGTTGAAAATGCGGATTTTTGGTACAATGAATACAATTTTACGTAATGCAATTGCTAAACCTCTACACGTTAGCTATATTTTACGCATTGCGGATAACAAACGTGCGAGGCAGTATTGTTTCATAATGTTTATCACCAGACGCTTTGTAATGTTGAATGTATCAGCTAAGTCATCCACAAGAACAACAATATTAAATTAGCAAATTTGACACTATGTTTGTGAATCATAATTCTGTTTATTCATTACAAGTCAATTAAATGCAAAACCAACTTATAGTATCCAAATGTGTGTATTTTCAGAAGTTTGCAACTTCTAAAACGAAAGTGTCATAATTGATTTTCATGAACTGTGAATTGTTCTGAACAAAATAAAGCAGTGTATACGTATGACACTTGAATAAACGGTTGGTATAAAAAGGCATCAATTAAATTTTTTTACGGATAAATAATCGAAAGCTTCATTCTGTTACAAAGTTGGCGTTTTAAACTAGATTTACAATAAAAACGGTCGGTCGTCAAGTCAAAATGTATTGAATTATTTATGAATATAATGTTGGGTTACAAAGTGACCATGTTAATAGTTTAGCATATACCAATGTTAAGTTAGTTTGCGAAACGCAGTTTAGCTTAGTTCCATTGCATAAAACGGTGACCAGTGAAAACGGTAACATTATGCTCTATTTAACTTCCATCTAATTTATATGGTCCTTCTGAGCACCTCCGATACTACAAAGTAATGGAGTTTTAGTGTGAATTCCTCCGGTACTCAAACATTGGTACATATCTGAATGAATGCCCAAGCATTCGGTTTAAAAATATTTGCACGCCAGTATACCGAAACATGCCTCTATTAACATTGGGGCTCAAACTAACGACTTTTAGCAGTGCGAAAATCACCTAGTGGTTAACACTAAGAGAAACCGCTGATATCTAAGAAAGTTATACAATACGGAACGCTTGCTGGATACATCTAACGTTAGAAAAAGTATACATTAGCGCCGGCTTTGCTATATGCACCAGAATAAATGGTTTATAATATAGGTGTTTCAAATTGGACCTTAGTTGAGGTCACATAACTTACGCCTCTGGGAATATACAACATCATAAGTTGATTTCACAGCGATAAGTTTTAGCAACAGTGCTCCCGGTCGGCAAGATTCAACGTAAAGACACCGTTAATGTTAGAAATTTATTGGTAGCCACGTTACTTCATACGCAATTTTTACATCATATGTTAGGTCTACAATAATCAGCTCACTTGGAATAATCTTGTGCTGTGGCTCCTGTGAAGGCGTAAAATGTGCAACCTTGAGGTAAAAATGTTTTTCAATGCAATATTTTATTATACGTCTTCTGTTTATATTGTGTATGTTATGTTTGTTAGTCAAAGTCAAAAAACCAAAAATAAGGTTGCTTCATTAGTTTCTGATCGTAATTTATTGATGAAAGCTTGAACGTTGACGAGTTTAGAAAAATGTTATTTTTCATCCTCTGGTTGTTGCTGAGTAAAGTGTAGCATGACTGTTTGAAAAACGCAATGGCTGAGGTACTTAACAACCGTAGCTGGCAATGTTATTTTTAGTCAGCCAGTGGCTTTGTTCTTAATAGTAGGCTGTCTACACATGCAAAACTTCATCTTTCCTTTTCTTTGTATACGAGCTTCATACAACCACCTTGTTATAGCTAATATTCATATACAAATCTAATATTAGATGTGATCCATGATCCTCCTTTTTTAATTTCGCTGGAACTCTGAACTTTGGTTCATTTTCAATCAATCCGTAAATGAAATCATCGCGACTACAGTCCAGATTATTTCATTGGACTGTGCTAATCTCACGTGAAATCAAGGCATCTTCTATATGTTTTCATCTATATTCGAACCAACTAATTTTAAATTCCTTAACTGTATGTTTAAACCAAACTACAGCTCGGAATACAACAAGGCCAAAGTGTTGAAAAAGCACTGATTGATTTCACTCATGTCAGGGGCATAGAGTCTCTTCATTATTGAAAACAGCATCAGTTTAAATCATTTTTCACGTATCGGAAGTCAAATGGTTTGCAAGAACGTTGTTACTTAATCTACAGTGCACTCCTCTAATGGGTTCTTAACAGCATGGAGTAGAAGCTTGATATTTTCAGACATACTACTTTATAAATTTGCCTTTTTAAATAATAAGCAATCATGCTGTATTACTCATTTATCTGCAACTTCCGGATGAGCATTACTATTAAAATACATAATTTCATAAACACAATTAACGGAACGGATTATATGCAGAGATTAATTGAGCACTTAGTTTAAACCATGGGATTTTTCTACTTATAGGTATCTACGATTTGTGCATTTTTCAACTAAAAAACAGTGGTGTAAATTACTGATGGTCAACCGAGATGTCCACAGAAATATAAAATATCCTAATGATGGTTCTTTGTGCAGTTTGCGGAGTAGTTGGTCCTGAATGCATTTATGGAATTCGAAAACCAACTAGGTTGGGTTCGATTATACTACCCCCAATTAAGTTTATTTATCGAATATATTTGAAATTTATTGTCATTCATTAATCCGAATATGATTGATTTTCTGTAACTTATGGCGGGTGACCAGCTGCGTGATAGCTGCACACTTCAATGTACATCGAAATGATTTTACTTTTGTCGTTTGGCTTATACCTTATTTGTGTCACTAGTTTAAATCACCATAATTTAAAATTAAAAGCTGCTGGTTGCGCTGTAAAATTTTGTTTATAGTGGGACGTTGATATAGCTAGTATTGTTTAACATTTATATGTAATTGTTTTTCGAAGAAACCTTTGGTGATAAGAAACATCATATCAAATATACTTGTCTGCTTCGATGACTGTATGACGCCACATTTCCGGTATTCTCATTTGGCATTAATACTACATTTTTTGAATTCCTCATACGGTCGTAAATCCAAAAAAGTAAAACTGGAAGGTGTATAACTGATAATTACTATCTGTTTAGTTTGTATTTTACCTAAATTTTCTTGCAACCGTAAAATGTAGAATGTACATCTTTTGAGCGGTTCATATAATAAAAGCATAAAAGAAAAATTGTTTACTTCATCTGGTTTGCCGAGGGAACCCCCCAACTAGCTATTATTAAAGTCAAACCCCGTTGACCTAACTGTGGTATTTCGCGCGACATTACTTTCTTGTGATGAGGTTATATACCGTATCAGTTGGATATTTCGTATCATATACATTCAAATTTGTGGAAATTGTGTCCCTTCTTGACTGATCCAAAGCAAAATATATATTAGAACATCTATTATCTCCAGAATCAAGGAGAGGATAGTTATAGAACGCAGAATAGAGTATTCGAGTGCTATGAGCCTTCTCATTAAAAATCAGCACGGTTATTTGAAAGGTAGGTCTTGCACTACTTCCAGTTAGATTACCTTGATTATGTGACTAGAGCAAGTGACGCCGGAAGTGCTATCATCGTAATAATTCTTGACATCCAAAAGGCTTTTGACCATGTCCCACACAATTTATTTTTGCTGAAGCTTATATCCTATGGTATCGCTAATTCGCTTCTAGATTGGTTGTCTTCCTACCTCGAGGGTAGAAAGCAAGTAGTCAAAATCGGTAACCCTACATCTGAAGTCAATACAATCTCTAGTGGAGTGATTGAAGGTAGCTTGCTATGTCCGATTTTATTCTTAATCTATTTCAACGATCTTCTTGACAAAATCACGTATGGAAAGCCGTTTCTTTTCGCAGATAATGTTACAATTGTGTATTGTTCAGCCGCTGGGCAAGGTAGTCCTAACTTAGCCTATATTCAGTCTGACTTGTCCGCATTGGAGCTCTGCAATAACTCGTGGAAGCTGCACTTTGGCACGGACAACAGTGTACTAATGTACTACGGCTGTGGCCCTTGCGAGGCGATAAATGTGGAGCCACTATAGCTACGCAGACTCAAACTTTATCTGTGCCTTCTACACCGCTTACTATTCGGATTAACCTTCACTGCTCAGCCACAACTCGAGTTTCAGGCCCGTATGCGCTATGAACTAAGAAACAGCGAGCGTACAGTGAAAATACCAAAGTCTTGCACAAATCTCTGCTAAAAATATTTTCTCTGTAAAATATGTGTTAATTTGAAACAAACGTCCATCGAGCGTTAGAAACTGCACTACCTATGCACAATTCAGACGCATGATTAATATTTACCTGACTGTTGCAAACATCTTATCAACAATAAACCAAACGGTGATTCTAGATGATTTTATGAGAAAGGTCCTGGATAGGTATGAAAGTCACCATATCCTCTATTCATTTCAAAAATATAAGATTACATACATATAATTGCATCCTTGAGTATATATTTGAGAATGATCTTACTCCTCTTCATCCGTTTAACCAATTCTGATTTCCCTTTTGATGCACTGGTTCGTAGATGCACTACACCTTTCAAGCTGATATCTCTGTACCATCCTCGTCACACGCCAAGTTTTTCCATCAAATTGTGACTGGCCTATCGGCAAGCGTTTTTATTCATCATTATGTTTTATAATTCCTCATACTTTATCTTCTTCTTTGTTTCAACTTTGGTCATGACTGGGCTGATTAATTTTTTTAGACGGAGTACAGCTTTCAAAAGAAAAAGTATACTCATGCAAATCATATTACTGCTGACTCGCTGGCTTAAAACAAAAAAGTGCCATACTTGATTGATCCGCATGGCAGAACGGGCTGAGGCTTCATCGCCTATAATATATGCATAAAACAGCCATAAAAAAGAC